GATTACATGGCCTACAACAATACCACTGCGCGAATGCAAGATATCCAACACCGCTCTAGTTACCTTTTAAGCAAAGAACTTGTGGCGAAGCTGGTTCACTCCTCAGCAAAGCATTTATTGCTTCTGCTCCCATTCGACAGCCAAGTAATCTGTCAAGAAACGATGGTCGCCCTCCTCGTTGCAGATGACCAAGGCGAGAAACACGAACATCGTACTGAAAATTGTTTGTTCTTTCCTACGATGAGAGTTGCTAGTAAAAAATTCTAGGTCAGTTTGCTTATGGCTAGATAGATGTTAGAGTTCCTAAAGACTTTAGTTTCTAAAAACTTTTTTGTGTTAAAGAGTAAATACTAGCAGCCTACTTTTAGATTCTCTTCCACAATTTTTTTGATCATATCTACGGTTATTGGCTTTTTGTCCGAATCTGTTGCTCCTTCCGAGACGAGAATTATGTGAAGACGGCTGCCTGCCTAAAGCTAATTGAGTGCCTAGGAAAACGACTGTCAAAGTTAGAGTAACGCATACCTTACGCTTTCTCTGAAGATGACTACACATTACTTTGGGCCATTCTTGAGTTGGTGGCACTTCAGGAATAAAAACAAAATCCGCTTCCAAGGCAATCGCAGCAGTAAGCGCAAGACTACCGCAATCTTTACTCATAACCTGCAAGCGGAGAGCATAGGCATGTCATAAGAAACAGCTAAATGTGATATCCCTACAGTATGTTTAATTTTACTGCTTAACATTTTTTTTTCAAAATTTACCTCAACAACGAAAGTACGCTGCAAACTATCGGCAGTTGAAGCTAAATCGTCCACACACTTGACTACACGAGCCATCGCGGAGTCAAAACCGATTGTGCGGTCGGTTCCAATGAAATCGTTGTCTATCGTACTAAACATCAGTAGGATAAGGATAAAATTTCAATTGAAAAGGAGGACGTGCAAGAGGCTTCAAAGACTGTCGCCTTTGCCGATGGGTATTCTGAGGAGCTTCGGTCCTCCTCGCGCCACTTATTGGTGCCTACAACGTGCAGTTCCCTCTCCTCCACATCCGAAAGAAAGAAAGAACTATACCAGTTTTTGACACATTAAGAAGAGGGAGAATTGATGTGAAAACTTCGAACTAGACAAGAAGGGGTAAAAAAAGCAGCAACAGCGCGTTTGGAGTATAGATATCATATAGAAATTTTGATTCCCTTGCTTTCAAGTGATTCAGCTCTACTTATACGCATGGAATTAACGCAACAATTAAGATTAACTAATTTTAGAGACAAGAAGATTTTAAAG